TGGTGAGGGGACAGGAGGTCACCATTTGTAAAATGGACAGGGACGACGCGGATGGCCAACTGCATTCATTGCCCAAAGAAGGACACGAGTTTGATGCCAGACAGCCAACACACAGCTGTCAGAGTTCCTCCGTTTCAGGATGCCATGAGGATTTAAAAAACAAAAAAAAGGAAAGGCACTGAAGTTGAGAAATGTACCCTACCCTCGGTAGGGTAGTTTTCTCAACGGAAAATAGCTTCCCGCCCAAACCAAAAGGGCCAACGCATACTACAAAACGGATTTCACATCAAAAAAAAATTCTACAAAATGACTAAATCTAATAGGTTATTCTCCTGTATTTTGGTACCGTTAGATTCGCAATTCATCAACGGCAGAGCTCCGTCCCACCATGCCACACGTGATAGAAAGCTCAGCGTTGAGTTTTCTCAACGCTGTAGGTGGGACTAGACCCCAGGGCAAGCCAGGCAAGCTGGCGTGCAGCTCCAGCTGAGGCTGGCGTGGGAACAAGCCAAAAATAGCCTGTTCCGAAACCCTGGTTTGTAGCCTGAGTTTTAGGGCAGGGCAAAACTCATGAGGGCCCGAGAATGGCCCTCCGTTTCAGGCTGAAAATACTCTGGGCCAAAAGGGCCCTATTTTAGCCTGAAACGAAATGGTAGGGTCTGTAGGCCGTCGTTTCAGCTTCCAGGCTGAAACCGGGGCCTGTAAGCCCTATTTTTTAGGCTTTTAGGCTTGAGAATGCGGGACGGGCCCTGCAGGCCCGTGTGGCTATGCAGTATGCCACATCTTACCAGCATCGCTAACACTGGAGGGAATTGTTTAAAAAAAAAAAAAAGAAAAAAAAAAAGCTACTTTATCACTTTAGAATTACTGGGAACCCTGCAGCAACCAGCCTAAGTTCAAGCCTCCAACCAGGGAACATGGGGGGCTTCACCCGACCTGCGGGTGGGCGAAACTGGCCAGGGGTCAGCCGGTAAAATAAGGACTGAGCTTGTTGAATGGGCCAGTCCCCCTACGAACATCAGCAGTCACTACTCAATGCGGCTTGCTTGCCTTACCAACTGAGGTAGCCCACTGGATAGGAAGGAAAAAGGAGAAGATGGAGTTGGAGAGGAGGAGGAAGAGAGGCAGAGGAGGAAAAGAAGGAGTTGGAGAACAAGGAGGAGGCGGAGGAAGAGGTGAAAGAGCAAGGAAAGGGAGCGGAATAGAATCACGCCAGGCCAGCCAAGAATGGCGGGAAGGCAACGCGGATTCGAGGAAATAGCCTGCAACCCTAATGTCGTGTTATAAAAAAAAAAGAGTAAGAAAACCCTGAGAAACAGAGGTCTTTTTATCGCAACGCGGACAAGCAACAGTAACGACTCCTGGCCGTGATGACGTCCTGTAATGGGATTCAGAGAAGACAGTAGAGGACGGGGGCAAGGGGAGGAAGCGGAAGAACAGTAGGAACGCATCCCGTGGAATGCTGATCAACAGGTGAGTGGTTGAAAACCTCCTACGGAATCAGATGGATATAGTAATATTTAAAGGAGGGAGGACAGAAAAGAGAGGACAACAAGATGGAAAGCACGCAGGACGAGGACTGTAACGAACAGGAAGAGGATGACAAAAGAGAGCTGAGGCTTCGTAGCTCACTGTTCACCACCGGGGGACACGGACAGGGAAACCGGAGCGAAAACGCGCACATTCAGGACTCAGGAGGTAACAGAAAGCGGGAAAGCCAGAAACCTTGGATGAGAGGCAACTGACTTGAACGACAGGCAGCGCAGGAGAGAGAGACTCCCGGCCAAACTCAATGATGCCACCCTACCACTCAGTTATGACGAAGGGGTGACGCTCGCGGGGTCTCGAGAAATAGGATTAGTGTGAGTGTGGACGGTAGGGATCTCATTCATTGTCACTTTTGGTGGCTTCTGATGCGGTGCGCGACAAGGGGATGGGAACACGAGGGCCAGTTTTGGAGGCGTGCGGATTGCAGTGCGGAAATCCTTGTATTCATAGATGAGCTGGGGTTGAGAGGCACGGGACTGTTTCGGACATGCTTGATGAGTGATTGTCAAGTCCAGGACAGTACCTTTTTTTTAAACGGCAAGTAGAACTTCCAAAGACGATTTTGAGGGAAACGAGCGCACCTTTCCATCAAGTGGAGAACTTTGGGAGAGAGAAGGACGAACCTGCTTCCGATCTCCATCTCCGCCAGTCGCGCTTCCTCTCCGGTGGTCAAGGCGACCTTCAGACGTCAGACGAGAAGGATTGGATAAAGGCGCTGGGCGTCGTTGAAAGGTGACGGGGAGGGAGAGGTGATAGAGTAAGTCGGTGAAGGGTGGAATCAAATGATAATTCTGCTGCGAGTGTTGGATGGAAGAATGACTCGGTGAGTGTGGAGCTTTGTTTCAATTTCAGTGGAGTAGTGTATAGTCTCAAATTTGATTAAGGAGCACGCTGCACCCTCTTTCCAGCACCCGACGCCCCTCACCAGTAGATGCGGTGATGGTGTTTGTCGGGGGAAAGAGAGATAGGAGTGCAGGAGGGGAGGGAGGGAGAAATTGGCTCCCTGTTACTGTTATAGCAGCTCGGACATCTTCGTTTCAAAAGCTGGTATCAGTTTATAAAAATAGCATAGTGTATATGCTAAGTTTCTCGCCTGAGTTTCGATCTGCACCAAATCGCCCTTTAGCGCTGGCTGCGTCTCTGACTTGTGAAGCTTAGCGCTGGAAAGCGCTCATCGGTTTGGACCCAAAAACGCCCGCACAGGGACAGAGCGCTCCTGAAAACAAAAAGGGAACGTTGAAATTTTACTAGTTTCTTTGTTCCTTGTTCTTCCCAGAGGACGGAGTATGTTGTGAAGTTCGTTTGTAGTAGTTTAGACTTGGGATGTGGTGAAGTTCATTTGTAGTAGCTTAGACTAAGTTTTTTGTAGTAGTGTAGACTAGGGATGTTGTGAAGTTCATTTGTAGTAGTTTAGAGAACTTTAGGCTAAGTTTCTCGCCTGAGTTTCTATCTGCGGCAGGGGAAAAACACGAGCATAGTCGCAGAAGGCTTCTCAGGAATGCTTTTTAGTTCCGAAGAGGTGCATAGAAGACCGACATCATCATCGTCCATCAACATCGTCCATCATCATCGTGAGTATGATTTCCACCCTGCCATCTTCACCCTTGTAGACACGAGTTTGAAGGCCGGTTTGGGATAGACTGTTTGTCATCGTCATCAACACCATCATCATCACCGCTACCAAGACCACCATCATAATCATCATCATAATCATCATCATAATCATTATCATAGTCATCTCTCTTCCACAGCGAAAGCCGTTAACAGTTCGAACTACCCGTTGAAGCACAGGGTACAAGACGTCGTCTCCCATGATAGCATTACTTGTTCTATTATACTAAAACGGTTTCGGAACCCTAGGACTGCCGGATTGGTCCTGAAGTGTGGCCGTAAGTGGTGTGTTTCCCGCCTTTCAATTCCGGTGCGTTCCCGCATTACTCTACCACATCGTTCGCCTGTCTTACCTTGGAAGTTTTGCCGGGATAATTGGTGGAAAGCGCCCACGCCGAGTCCTTTTTGGTTTCGGGCGCCCAAAGTTCGGCCGTTTGGTACTACAGGCCCAAACGACTTCCCCCTGGGTGAATGCGCCGTGGCCACAGATCCGTTGGCCTGTTGTAACGGGACAATGAATCTAGCGCATTCTACGTCACCGTGACCAGCCGCTTTACAGTCGGACCATGATCAACGGCGGGGCGGGGAAGAACGTTTATTCCTCAATAAACAGCGCCCGGCATGTCAACAGTTTACTTCCACTCCCTGGTGCGTGGCAATCAAGGGCTCATGGCCCAGTTTTGCAATTAGCGGCTCGGGGCAAAACAGCCCCTCAGCTCGTTTATCGCTACCATGTGTGCACCACTGATAGCGGGACGGCTCACGAGTATGCATGGTGATGTGATTTGATCTGGTGGCTTGTCCCATTTCCGCTAGCTAATTGGTAATAAAGCACCCCTGCGTAGGGTGGTTTTCCCCGTTCCTTCTCATTTTAGTAGACTTCTTTTTTTTTTTTTTTTTTCCCGCCCTTCCATGCAGTGTGACGACGCCTAGCTGGTTGATGAAGACGATGCGTTTTCGCGAGAGAAGGAACGTCCGTGCGGCATTCTGTGACATCAGAAATCGACACGTGCGCTTCCTCTTGGTGCGCGTATTCTTCTTCTCCTTTTTCCTGGTCTTAGCTGCCATGCTCCGCAGCTGCAGTCCGGTCGAGGGACTGTCCCGCAAATTCTCATCGTTGGCTGTGGTTTCGAATTCCGATGCGCACGTGGTTGGCCGCCTTCTGCAGGCGTCCACATCGGCAGCCCCGCCATCTCTTCCGGTGGTATCACCGTTCGAACGCAGATTCGGACGCAGAGGCGGACTCTTGATCAACAACTCGGTACGGGTCGTTGCCTCACATCTATCCCCGACACAGGATTGTCAGGCTATAATCTCGAACCTGGTGGTTTCGCCTCAGAAAGAGCTGTACTATGTCGTTAAGCAGACGTGCTCAAACAGCAGCTCATTCAGCAGCGTTACGTCGATCAGAAAAGCCTATTTATCGAGGGCAACCCAGGGACCGGACTCGGCGGACGACGAATCAACATTATTAACCTTCTTGTGGTCTTACGACGAGCGGAACGGGTCGAGAATTGCAGAACGGCCGAACTCGACGGCTTCCGTGATGGGGATGGCCCTTTCAAAAGATGGTTCCCATCTCATCTTGAGCGTAGCCTACCCTTCCTCCTTCGTTCCTGTCAATGATTACTTCAATGGCAGCATCACGTCCTTGTCTGTTTCTTACTCCTCCCGTCTTTCTTCCTCCACGCTTTCCTTTGAGGGTATTGACAAAATCGGTTTGGACCCTTCCGGAGAGCGTCTGGTTTTTACTAGGCGCAGTCACTATGTACTAGAATATATTCAGGTCGATAGCTCGGGACTTCCGTCGGATGTATCATTAGATGTTGTGGTCACTCGAGACGGTTGTCATCTCTTTTTTACCGCAGGGTATTTTCTTCTTAGTGCGGAAGTCCGCGCACAATGCTCTCAGGTATCAGGTGTCGTCTTTACAGAGATGCCGATTTACCCGCATACACTTATCCCGCATACACTTACGGGACTGGCATTGATGGAGAATGAAGGGGGGGAGGACACATACTTATACGTGGGCTCTACCGACGGGAGACTTTTTGAAGTGCAGTTGAACAAGTCTGGCAGAGACTGTGTATTAGAAGCAGAACCAAGCATTCCCCCCGCAGCTGAAGGTGCCGTAGAATCAAAACCAAGCATTCCCCCCGCATCTGGAGGTGCCGTAGAAGCAAAACCAAGCAGTCCCACTGTTCTGGTAACAACTGTGGTGGCTGGCACAGTAATCGCCATGGTAATCATTGCCAGCTTGATTTGCATATGGTGGAGAGCGCGCCGACGACCACCTGGTCCGGAACGTCCCCTGGAAGGCGGTGAACAAGCGACTTCATCTTTAATAAAAGATGAAGCGTTGGACGCGTGGGGAATTAAGCCGTCGCGGGTCAAGCAGTTCGCTTTCAGGGTCCTGTCGGAATGTTCCGATGCATTCTGCGAGGGTCGAAGAATTGGGGAGAAAGGAGCGTTTGGGAAGGTTTACAGCGGCTCGCTTGACGGCAAGGAGGTCGCGATAAAGGTGATGACGGGCGAGCTAACGGAGACCAAACGGAACCAGTTTGTGGCCGAGGTGAACACCCTCAGCGGGCTTAATCATGCTAACCTCGTACAACTAGTCGGGTACTGCCTCGCGGGCGATCACTGCATCTTGGTGTACCCGTTCTTCCGAGGAGGCAGCCTGCACGGGCGGCTGTTCCCCAAGGCCGTCAGTGGGAAGGATGCGAAAGCGCCGGACACGGACCCAAGTGTCGAGAATCCATCCCCTCCGCTGACGCTTCTGGAGCGCATGAGCATCGCCTTCCAGGTTGCCAAGGGGCTCGGCTACCTTCACGACGCCGCCAGGCCCCCCATTATCCATCGGGACATCAAGAGCAGCAACATTCTGCTCGGCGAGGGATCTGGAGAGAAGCTTCACGTCGTCGTAGCGGATTTCGGATTAGCAGCCATCGGCGAGAGAGTATTAGACACAGGACATGACCACGTCGTGCTGACCTCTCACATCGGCGGCACTTTCGGGTATATGTCGCCCGAGTACATGCTGAAAGGAGAGCTGTCCGAAAAGAACGATGTGTACTCGTATGGGGTACTCGTTCTGGAGCTGTTGACGGGCAGGAAGGTGGTCGCGCCGGCTCCTTCCGGGTTGGGATGGCAGACGCTCGTCGAGTGGGTGAAGCCTTTCCTTTGAGGGGCAGCAGTCCAGAGCGGGAGCATGGAGATGCCGTACCCGATACTCGATCGGTGCTTGTGGGATCAGGTGGCTGGAGATTCGACGAAGAAGAATATGGTGACGAACACATTCCGACTGGCTTGGGAATGCGTCCAAGAGGAGTATGGGTCAAGACCAGCCATGAGAGAAATCATTCAGCGCATTCACAACATGTTCCTGGAAGTGGGTTGGGATGGCCTGACGGTGATAATGGTGGACCTAGAAAACGATGTGGATGATGATGCGGTAACCGCTACAGGAGGTCTCAGGGAGAGATGAAGGTATGTTAAAGGTGGATTTACCGTGTACGCAGGTTTCCTGACCAGGCCTGCTGTTGAGGACTGCCGTTCTCTCTCTCTCTCTCTCTCTCTCTCTCTCTCTCTCTCTCTCTCTCTCTCTCTCTACACACACACACACACATACACACACGCTCGTACTCTCTCTCTTTCTCTCCCCACACACACACACACGCACACGCGCGTGCGCGCGCAAAGAGTGTGGGGATTAGCACGTGTTGGGAACCGGGCCCAGCGTCCCACATAGAGTTACACAAGTCATTTGAGATACCGGAGCCATTATTCTAAATGACCCTGAATCATCCCAAATTTTTTATTATCAATGTATCTTAACCCTTAGGCAGCGTTGGCAGCGGGGGAGGTTGATGGTCCGCTCCGCGCTGGACTTGGGGGTGAAGTTTTGCTGCGGGCCGGCGGATGGAGGCGATAGAGGGCCGGGGGCGGGCAGATTGGCGCGCGTACGGAAATGTTAACAGCGCGGCAGAAAACGAGAGAGCGCGCTCAAGGGGCGAGACGGCGGCGGGTGTCGATGCGAGGGAATATCTTGAATCGATAAGCGCGCGTCCTTTCTTTTTCTTTTCTTTTCTTCTTCTTCTTCTTCTTCTTCTTTTTCTTCTTCTTTTTGGTCGTGTTGTTTCCCGCTTTTCGTTTTTTTTTTTTTTTTTTCTTGGCCGCTTTTCGTTTCGGTTTGTGTTCGGCCCCCTTTCTTTTTTTTGTTTTCGTGTTTTTTTCATATTGTCCTTGTGTTCCCTATTGTTGTTTTTTTTTTTTTTTTTTTTGGTTCTGGCGCGTCGTTTTATTTCCTTTTTTTGCGTTTTGTTTCTGTTTTCTTTTGTTTGCGGGAAAAAAAAGACTTTCGTTTTTTTTTCCCCATGAATTTGCAATTTTTTTTCATCGGTCCAGGAAAAAAAACAAAAAAAAAGACAAACGAAAAAAACAAAAGACGAAAAAGACAAATTGATTTCCCAATGTTTTTGGGTCGGAGCGAACTTTCCGCTAGAATACAGTCAGATGCAAGCAGACGAATGTTTGGTGCTCGGTCCGCGGTGTGGGCTGTCCGTGGGCATCACCACACCACTATCCAAATGCTAGAAAACATGGGGGGGGTATCGGCCCACGTTCTAGCGGGAAGTTCATTCTCATTTTGCACATTTCGGGGGTGGTGTGGCGGTCCTCTTTTTGTCTCTCTCTCTCTCTCTCTCTTTCTCTCTCTCTCTCTCTCTCTCTCTCTCTCTCTCTCTCTCTCTCTCTCTCTCTNNNACACACACACAGACGCACACACAGACACACACAGACACACAGATAGGACGAAGTTTGCCTGTGTGTGTTCATGCGGCCTGTTAAAAAAGGTTTCTGATCATCAAGTAGCAAAGAGGGGAAAGAAATTTCTGACAAGCATAATTGACAAACCAACAGATTGCTGACAAAAAAGGTTTCAATGAGCTTTCAGAAATACTGACCAAAGTAGCTCAAAACACTGAAGCATCTTCCCTAGAAATTGAAGAAATCCTGGGGTACCCCCATGCACCGAGGGCACGGGCGGGTGGGCCAGGAATTTTTCGCGCGGTTAGCCGCGAACCGTCGATGAAGATAGTCCAGCGTCTCGTTGGCGGATCGATGAACAGAGCGGCGCCGCAATCGCGATCGACAGCCAAGCAGAAGGCAAAAAGTCTGGCATCGAACGGGTCGAGGCTATAAGACCCAAAATAAACGAGCCTCGAAATTCCTCTGCAACGCTAAGGCAGGTTGCCAAATTGCCAATCAGTCCTTATGCTGTCGATATGGCCCGATGTAGGCCACCCCTATGCAGGGATCGGTCCGGATGGACCCCTGCGGTGAATGAGGGATCGATAGGCCCTTCAGAAGGATGGCCCAGCCATATGCCCATTTCTGTACGCCAGATAATTGCTGGTGGGGGAGCTTCCTTATACTCTGAAGCACAAAATGGCCCTTTGGCTCTGGCGGGCCCAAGCGAGCTAATGCCTGAAGGTCCTCTGGTAATTCCTCACCCCGAGGGCCTCGGAGGCCCCCAGCAGATGGAAAACGAGGTAACGGAGTGTAATGATTATGCTGCCAAACCCAAGTAAGTACAGAAACTGACACTCCTTCTTCCCAGGAATGACAGCGACAATTACGGCTGTAGGTCGGAACCTCAAAGTCAGCCAGCGAATCAGGGGAGAGTATATATGCTTTCTATGTGTGTTCATGTGGCCTGTTTCAGCCAGAGTACAGGGGTAATACAAACAGGGGTTACAGGATCATCAAGTAGCAAATAGGGGAAAGGAATTTATGACAAGCATAAGTGACAAACCAACAGATTGCTGACAAAAAAGGTTTCAATGAGCTTTGAGAAATACTGACCAAAGTAGTTCAAAACACTCGAGCATCTTCCCAAGAAATTGGAGAAGTCCTGGGGTACCCCCTTCACCTCGTAACCCAAAACAAAGTTCCCCACCTTCATACTCCTGATCTGATGAAATCTGATTTGTGTGCAGGAGATGGTGGTTGAGCCGATTACTCAAGGGAGGTCAAGAATCTGAAAACGGCCCATCACCAGGAAGTATAGAAGGAGGCTATACAGAAGGCTTGATTGATTCTATAGAGTTAATTGCTCGGCATGGACTACCTAAGAATGGAGAGCGAGAGAGGCAACGAACGATGCAATCCATCAGCAGTTAGTTGCTTCGAAATCGAGTGGGAAGAGATATCACAAACTGCACTGACTTTGAAGTGATAGCATTCTTCCAAAGTCAATGGATTCCTGAGTTGAGATTACGCAGCGTACAGTTGATCAGAATGGTCAGCCCTTTCCTTCCTGTAGCTCGGTAGAATCCGGCATGAGCTGCTTGAATCGTTGTTTCCTCATCCTTGGTCGAGAGGGGATGCAAAATCCTTGCAACAACAGCAAGGTGAACGATTACCGAAGGGCATACCATAACTATGCCTTAAAAATTGGGGTGAGGGAGCATCAGGCTCATGCCATGACTGCAGCCAAGATGTAGTTACTGCATGATAGTATCAGAGAGAGTTTGAGGATTAAGCAGAGACACTTTGCGATCTCTGCATTATGACGTATTTATGGGAGAGTTGGCAGCGAGGTGTCGAGGGTCTGCGACTGCAAGGAGATGAGGTTGATGAAGAAACAGCACGCGTGCAACCAGGGTACACAAAAACTCTTCGAAAAGGGAGGTTTGGGGTGATCCAACTCCAAGAACCTCGCGGCAACGGTACCTCCTTCCTAGAGATTGTTGAAGAACTGCGGGAATGCTATAGTCGCTTGGAACCTCCCATAAATTTGCCTGATGGGGGTCCCTTGTTTCGTAGTACTCAGACAAAAAGGGAGTTGAGCCTTAGTGGGTTTAACAAGGGCCTGAAGGAGAGGATGAAAGCCCTAGGTATCTATGCAGGCGAGAACAGTCATAGCTTTAGAGTCGGAGGAGTTCGAGCCGGGATACAAGCGAGGTGGAGCTTAGAAAAGATGCTCAGTCAGGGAACTTGGAAGGATTTCTCTATCTTCATTCGCTATGGTTATGTGTGCAACTAGGTTGGAGGGTTATTCTACTGACTGTTAAGCCTGTCTTGCCCGGGTTAAACGCATTTGTAGGGATTCTGAGGGTTCTAGTGCAGGTGGCGAAATCCTTTTCCAAGTTGATCACCACGGTTCTTGGAAGGTCTTGCAGGGCAAGAAACCAGCTTGTGCGGGATGAGTTTGGTGTGACGAGGAGGTAGTCGCCTCCGAAAAATTTCATTGTAGCTAGGACTTGGTGAAGGAGGCAGGTAGGGGGAAAAGTCCATCTATAAGGTCTTGTTGGCAAGGCATTCCAATCCAGCAAGAGAGCATCTGCAGCAAGGCAACTTGGAGAGAGGAATTCCGAGATGAATGGTAGACATACGAAGTTCTTCTCAGAGGCGAAAAGGTCTATAGCCGGTTCTCCAAATTTTGCAGTTAAGGAACTGACTATTTATCTACTCAGTGCCCAGTCAGAATAATCGATCGTCTTGGATAGATAATCTGCCTCGATGTTCAGTTCCCTAGGAATCCAGGAAGGCCGGAGCTGGCAATCAAAAGTTACAAGTAGTGAAGCGATTCTCCTTAGGAAATCATTAAAGAAGGTGTCTATTGAGCTCAGTTTTTTTAGGAAAAAAAAGACAGTCTGGTTATCTCTTTCTACACTTATAGCCTTGGAAAGCAGCTCCTCCGGGGCCCTATCTGCTAGTAGATTTAAGGTAGTCATAACAGCATAGAGTTCTCTGTGAGTGCTGGATTCCTCCACCAGATATGGCGGGAGGAGCGAACTCAGTCTTCAAGGTTGCTTATCCTTAAAAAATACTAGCACTCCTATTGCAGAGTCCGACGCGTCAGTCTTCATTGTTACAGTTGTCTTTCTGACCGTCCAAAGTCTGTCTGGAATCCTGGGAAGGTGCTTCAGCCACCAGAGCAGATCGCTCCTGAACTCCCTTGAGAGTTCGACTTTTGCATTCCAGTCGCAGTTTGCTAGGGCAAAATGAAGATTAGAGCAATGGAGTGAGGCAGGAAGGAAAGCCTTGGACAACAAGATTAATTTGCCTGCTAATGAAGCAATTCCCATTGCAGATAAGTGAGACTGATTAACAAAATTTGATAAGAGGGTGAGAATCTTTTCCTGCTTGTCTTGAGGCACCTTAATCCTCTTTTGGTGTGAGTCAATAGTAAACCCAGGAACCTGTTTGATTGCGAGAGAAAGACGTTGCATTTGTTCAGACTGAGAAAGAATCCCAGTTTGTGGAAAATGAAGGTAATTAGAAAAGAATTCCAGAGACAGAGGGAAAGACTCTTGTGAGTTGAGAGACTGTCATCGATGTTAGAGAAAAAATTGATTCCTCTTGATCTGATGACTACCATTACTTCTTGCATAACTATTGTAAAGATCCAACATGCCGAAGAAATTCCAAAACATAATGTGTTGAAGTGATAAGTTTTTCCATTCCAGGAGAAGGCCAGGAAAGGGCGAGACTTAGGATGAACCGGTACATGATAATAGTCATTCTTGACATCAAAGGTAACAGCGAAATCTTGCAATACAGATCCATCCATAATTGAGACAGCATCATGAATTGATTCATAGTGGAATTCCGAAAAAGAAATAAAAAGGTTCACGTATCTGAGATCCACAATTAGTCTGATCTTACTAGAGCTCTCGATAACAAAGACCGGGTTTGTGACTGCAGGGGCGTCAGAAATGGAGATTACACCTTGATCCAACAACGACAAGGCACTGTTGCTTACAAAATCAGCATGGGCCTGAGAAAGGTCACAGTTGGGTAGGGTAATAGGGGTTGGCTCATCAGCGCGAATGACTTTTCTAAAGTCAGAGGCTCTTAAGACAGGCTTAACCATATGTGTGACCTCCTGTATCTTAGAAGAGGAATTGTGACTTGTGCCTGCAAAATTCAGACTAACTCCCTTCTCTAGCCAATTGAGTACGTCTCTAGAGGATTTAGAAGATGAAGAGGCTAGGAGTGACTTCCACTCATGCAAGTGGTTGACGAGCGAGGCGGCAACGAAATCTTTCGGGTTCTTGAGCCAACTAGATCTTTTCTCCAAGGATGCAATAGCTGCAGAGAGCTGATATGGAGAGGGAAAAACATTCAATGCCTGGATTGCTATGGAGATTTCCCCTTCCGGCTCCATTCCTTCTTGTCATCAGACGATTCACTGTCACTCCTCCTCTGGCGGGACCTTTTGGCTGGACTCTTGTATTTGTATTTATACTTGGCCGAATCTTGCCCTGCGGAATACCTCCAAGGCAACCACAGTTAAAGCTTACCTGAGTACGGGTCTTGTCGGCCAAGTAAAAGAATAATCAGGCCACCACTAAAAGGTGTGAGGCGCAAATGGCTACCCCCAAAGGCCTGGTGAATTAAGTCAGCAGCTCGACCATCCGATTCTGCTATTAAAGATATATTAGAAAGCTGTGTATCTTTTTAACGGAGAACGCAAAAAATTCAACGCGCATTTATCCGTTTAACGGGCCGCCGACCACCGTTAAATCGCGTTAAATGCAAAAACGGGGGTGTCGCGTCGAGTTCCGAAAAACGGAATTCGTGCGTTGGGCTTCGGACACGTGTACCTATGTGCCCGAACATTCATACCAGAAAAAAAAAAAAAAAAATTGGCGCCATACCCCCCCCTCCCCCCACATTCCCCTAGGGGCCCCGTTTTCCCCCAAAACGACACATTCACCCCAAACACACCCCCGACCTCCAAAGCTGCACACCCTCCCCCACTGACCACTGTCACCAGCGCTCACCCC